AACCGTTACTATTCGTGAAAGATTTATAGGTAAAAGTGAGTACGAAATATATTTTTTCTGTATAGTTTCTGTTTAAAGTTTAATTGCAACTTTTATCTCCAAAGTTTCAATAAAAAAGATTTATTTCACATTTTTTGTTATTCAAATCTTATATTTTATGAAAAAAATTAAGTAAAGTGTTATGTTATTAATCAATTTTAATAATACGCATTAGTAAAATGCATTGATGAAATATTAATTTTAATGAAAATTTTATAAAAACTTTATTAAGCGCGATAAAAAATTTTAAAATTGTTACGTTAAAGAAGATTAAAAAGTGTATTTTATTTTATTTTCTTTAATTTCGGAAATGTGCATTATTTGCATATAAAAAAAATTCTCTTTGTGAAGAAATATTTATTTTAATCGGAAAATATCTCTTCCTGTCTCTATAGGATTATTAAAAGACCGAAAAATATTTCTATTATACGCGTAACGTTTACAGATTCGTAAAACAAAATTTCATACAATTAAAATAGTAATAATCGTTGATATTCCATATAAATAATACTTCTTTCTTTTCTGTTAAATAATAACGTTATAGCTTGAGGAGAGAGATTGATTTTAATATACCTTGAATGGCGAATGGCAAAATTGCACGATCGCAGAATAAGTTTCGTCTGGGAGTCAAAAGTTGAAGAAAAATTGGATGCATGGGTTAAAAGAAAATGAATAAATGTCTCGATTCCTTCCTCAGTTTTCGCTCCGAAAAATACCTGAGGGAGCAATGAATGGAAGAACGTATCTACGATACGAGTGGATACCTTTCAAAAGGACTCATGGGAGAATGAAGCTTATTCGTCATCCTGTCTGCCGATAGGTCGTACCAACTATCACCATTGCGCCACCTAACACATCCTGGAGATCCTCCAGGGTGAATTCTTTCAATAACCAGAAAAAATATATATATTGTCATCCTTTGAAAGAAACAAATTTACTATGCATATGCTTGGAGCAATGAGTTCATAAATTAGGACAATAATATATCCATGTAACAAACAGCTGCATGTAACAACAGCCTGCTAATCTTCATCAAATATTTTTGTAAATATAATTTGCCTATAACGATTAGTGATTCTATTTCCCGATGTAAATATATTTGTTTTCGAAAATAAAAAGATTTTATTATTTCTAATAAATTATTAAAAGTCTTGAGTAATATTCTCAGCAAACACAAAGTTATATGCAATATACTTGTTAATTATAATTTCCCACTCAACAATATAATTATAATATAACACCTGTTATATTACACTTATATGAGTTATTTTTTATATTTGATTTTATTATTATTTTCTACTTGTTAATTAATATAATATTCATGGCTGAAGATAACCAAGAAAAATTAAAACATATCGCTATTGATTTTAAGAAGAAATTATCTATATATGTCATCCTTATATGTTCATTCATTTGACTTTCATTTGTTTCTTTTTATTGTTTAGCAAAAATGAGCAGGAATCATTAATTAGAATAAAAAGATATTTCACTACAAAAACGAAATAATAAAACATGCATCCACTTGGTCAAAGTACAAATAGAAACAGAATTGCAAATAATCAATCGCAATTATTTCTCGTCTCATTAATCCGTGATTTTTATTAAAATTTACCATTTCCAGGCAAAGGATAGATAAACGAAAAGTCGGAATAGATCGCAAAATGCCTCTTCAGAAAATAAATTGCTTGAATAATGGAAAAGAATCGCTTGAGCCGGGCTTACGCATTTCTCTGAACTCTTTCTCCTCTTTTCATCAAGACTTTTAGCGAACAAGACCAACAGAACTATCCTATCACTCGCACATAGCTAATTTCACTTGCACTCTCTCTTTTTTTCACAACTTTATGCAATAAAATTTTTTTCGAGTTTTCACCAACTTAAAAATTTATTTTAATCTTGTTGAAGACATTGACACATTCTAATTTCCTAAAAAAATTAACTTGTAATAAATATTACTCTGTGATAATATTTATTCGCAATAAGTTCTTGGCAGAAACTTTAAGATGTTTATTAGCATCATTAAATTGACAATCAAATTAATTTATGATATTTCAGTTTTAGTTTATGATTGCATTTTAAGTCCGACAATAATTAGGGTAGTTTATATAAATGGAAGATTTAAAATTTATGTATATGTAAGTAAGTAAATAGAGAAAAGTCAAATACGATCGAGATCTTGCCTAATATTTATATATAAATTTTGTATTTCACACACAATATTTAAATATTGTACTTCCAATATTTAAAATTTATATAAATTAAATAACATTACAATCCGAAGCGCCACTACTAAGTATTAAGATGTTGAACTAATATATAATATATATTATTCAAACGAATAAATTAACTTCAGAAATAATAATTACGTGTCGATATGGTTGTCGACATTAACGCAATTAATCTGAAATGTAATAATCCCCCCAAAAATTCCCCAAATTAATCTTAAAAAACTGTAATAAACTTATTGCGAAAAAATATTGCCTCGGCCGCTTATATAAATTAAATATTAGACATTATATATATATACGATCTAATCTCGACTGTATTTAATCCTTTTTTACTTATTTGAAATAAATGAAAAAGAAATATTATAAAGAAGTATTACCTTTATTTTAAAAAAAGAATAAAAGTTTTACATGCAAGAATTTGATTACTAATGTTTTACGTGTTTCCTACAACTAATCCTCAATTTAACACGTCACTCAATCTGTAACAAGATTTACACACACATGTAAAAAAGTTTTTTCTATTTATCCGTCAGCACCTCGAGAATCTCTCTTGTGCAGCTTCGTGCCTGAAGCATCCACAATGAAAACGAGACGGAAGTCACGCTAAGAATCCGTCACGACTTGCGAGAGAAAAAAAGCAGAGGCACAACTATGGCAAAGCCTGGAGAATAAGAAAGTCGAGAAGGAATCCTAAGACGTTCAGTTTATCACGTTGCCAGTTTAACAAAGCATTCTCGTTTAACGGAGATAACGTTCACCGCGCAGAAAAGAAATCGGAATTCGTGCGACAACTTGGCTCCTAACAAGAATGACTCTTCCGTGCCAAAGAATCTAGCAAATTTCAATTTTTATCGTTTTTTTATTTTTAGTTTTATGAGGTTGTTATATAGATACTGTTTTTATATTCGTAAAACGCACATGTATTTAAAAAAATTATGTTTTTATCTTTTTTGTTATCTATCATTAATTTTATTTATAATGATTTGATTATAATTATGCGCAATCTGATTTTAATACAATCATCAATCATCGCACACAGAAATATAAGCTCTTAACTTCAATCTCGGTGATATATTCAGCTTCTTTTCGAAAAATGATTTTCGAAAAATTTTTTTTCAAAACTTCTATTTATTTTATTACTTATAACTTTTTTCACTAATAAAGATGATTTCGTGATATTATTGTGCATGAGAATAAAGAAAAATTTAAGATTTTAAATGAAAACTATGCAATAATTGAATAAACGTAATATTAAAATATAAATTAGGATAAGAAAAACTGTTATATTTAAGATATAAAAAATAAAAAATAAATGTAGATGTGTGTGTAGGTTTAAGTAATAGAGTAACATTTACGGTAGCTGCCAAAAGTTTCCGACCAATGAGTAATTTTAGTATATTACTCAGATAAAGAATTTTGACAAATAAAAATTTAATATAGTGTATAATATATTTAATAATATCTAAAATATCATAATTTTTAAGTAAATAACAAGAATTGTATTAACTTATAATATATTATTAACTTATAGCAAGAATTTTATTAACTTATAATATAATTGAAAAATAGATTGACAAAAATTATCATAAAAATATCCTAAAATTTTTGACTATTATAGCTAATGTATTTTAGTTAGCTATTAATTAAAAGATATGAATGGATGTGTATTGTTTAAAAAATTATAAATCAAGTCCCTTTATTGAGCTGTAATAAAATTCTTTTATTTAAAAGTTATAAGCAATCAAAAGTTGAGTATGTCAATGTGTTGCCCATGACAAAATGACAAAATGGTATTGTATATAGATAGTATTAGGTGTAATCTGTATCACGCGTAGACGAGATACAGATTACTAAAGCCATCTATTGGAAAAATAATGGATTTCTTTTTACTACACCTAATATATGGCATTAAAGGGTTAATTTTTCTATTATAAAGACTTAATACAAATTTTATTTTACCCATTTTGTTGGTTGTTTTGAAAATGTTTTGTTAGCTTTAAAATATTGCGTCATGTTCCATGAGTAATACGACTTGCGAAATATCGCTACATAAATCTCAGATACAATTGCTGTCTTTTAAACATATTGATTGGCGACTGCAGCGCTAGGAAATCCGACTTTTCGATTTATTCTATGGGCCACTGCCTCTCGCATTGGCATTCTTCTCGAGAAGAGAGCAGCTTCGAAAGTATTCGTTCTGAAACTCAATCCGTGCAATAAGTGTCACTGACCTAACGTGCGCGCACTATAAAACTAGTCCTTCCTTTCCACTACTAACGCCAAATTTAATTCTAAAAGCAATCCGACAGATACTGTAACAAACTTTCGGTTCGTCCTACTTTAATTTTAAGAAAGCAATAACAATGAACAAGAGGTACTCTTTCTTCCAATGGTTCGTTCGAAAAATTTATCACAGCCATAATCATAAATTTGCGAAAAGAAAATTTTATAAGGAGAAAATTTATAAGGAGAACTGTGTGATAATATATACATTAAATCATCCTCGAGCGGATCCCGCGAATCTCTGTGAGTCTATGTAATCCGGATTAGCGTTTAGTTCATCGCAAGAATATTCAAAAGATGTACCAGAAGACATAACTTTCAATGTTAACGCGAAGTCCGAGAGATTTTTCATAGTACTTTAATCCGCGGTGCCTCGATGCCATTATCGTGAAAGCGGGCGTGTCCACGAGTATCGAAACTATTTAACGTTGCACCCGTGAAACTATCCAGAGTGTCGTGTTGGAGATGAATCGACTTGGGATGATGGTGGACCTCTCTCATGTCTCGGTGCCCACGATGCTGGCAGCTATGACGACGTCGAGGGCGCCAGTGATTTTCAGTCACAGCAGCGCTCACGCTCTTTGCAACTCCTCGCGAAATGTGCCTGACCACGCGCTGCGACTTTTGGTAAGTTCGGTAACGAAACAGAAAATAACAAACGCTATAATATATTCACTGAAAGTAATCTTATATAACGCGATGATTGCACAGAAAGAACGATTTTACTAAAATTTTACAAAAATAATGATCAATTTAATACTGGCCAATCAACACTGAAAAACAGTAATTAATTATTTATTGTAAGTATTAAAAACAATGTTATTTAGTGTTTTTATCATCCTAAATAAATAATTAATATCTTTCAGTAATAAATTGACCAGTATTAATTCTTTGCACTCGACGCATTTTTCATTAGGAGGAATCAATAACTTGAGGCTGTTTTGATAGAATTTGATGAATTTCTTATAGCTGTGACATCAAATGAAACATAAATTAATTATAAAACTATTATATTTTTATGTTTCGCCCAAATTAAACATAAACAGTCATTATTGCCCAAATTAAACGTAACAGTCATTGTCGCCTCTCACTCACCACTAGAATTGCATGAAACCAATTGAAAGTTGCCATTCGAATATAAAGGGTTAAATTGCATTAGATTAATTCTATAAATAAGTATCTATAAGGAAGGTTTCTAAAAATTTAACTAGATATAAATCTGAAAATAATTTTGCTAAACTATTATAATAATTATATAAGATGCTTAAGCTGAAATGTCAAAATTTTTTTACAGCATTTATTGCTCATCGTGAGCTTCCTATATAAATATCTTGATGGTTTTAAATAAAAATTATTTTCAAATCTGCACCTAGCTAAATTTTTTAATATTTCAAGAAAATTATTTTTTCTATAGAAATTATTAGGTGTTGGAATTAATTCGTAGCGTTTTACAAGTGATGGGAAGTACTTTCATTAATGTATTTTTTAATGCTCATGTGAAATAAATAACATTCTTTCATTAAAAACGCTACGAATTAATTCCAACACCTAATATAATCGCTTTATGATTATATAAACTCTAAATCTTATAAATTATATTAATATAAGAGACAGATATATAATTATGATTTTATATTAAGTATATTATAATTGTTTATTCTCCGTTCAAATAAATAAATAACGTTTTTATGTTTTACTTAATTCAACGATTACTTTAAGAGGAATACAAATATTTTGTTTACAGGCGCAGACCGGTGGTATAGTTATGGTATCCTTCTACCCCCATTTTATCAGCTGTGGCGAAAAATCGACGCTTGAGGATGTAGCAGGTAAGCATTTACTGCGATTAGCATTGTTTCATTTTGATCATTAACAGCAATCACGAAACTTATATCCGTAAAAAGGGATATCATCCGTATCTACTTGTTTGTCACTCGTAATGTATTAAATAAAATTTCGTGAAATTCATTCAATTGCAAACACTATACGTGCTTATATGGACTTAAAGCTCGATATTTGTTTATCGAAGTACGCTGTTATCTCGAATTTTTTAAACAACACAATGTACACGTAATGCAATTCAATATCTGATAAATTCAACCATTTTCTGTATTTACCTATATTTTACCATATTCTTTCCGGAATGAAAAATAAATATGACATTGATTAAAATAACTTTTTCACCGATATAACAACATTCGGCATGCATAAAAGGAATGATTTTTATTAAAGAATCTATAAAAAGTTAGGTGTATGTGTAGATAGATACAGATTTAAAAATAATTTTGTTGGACTGTCAAAATAATTATGTACACTGGAAAAAAAATGCTATTGATTCAATTAAAGTATACTACGGGTTGTCACTAACATAAGTGATTAATTCATATATATTTTTATTGACATAAAGGCATAAATTATTATTTTAATAATCAAGCTTTTATGTCAATAAAAATATACATGAATTAATTATTTTTAGTTAGTCAGCCAGTAATATAGACTTTAATTGAATCAACATTTTTTTCGCAGTGAAGAAAACTCAAGCATGATTAGCAATGCTGTAAACAATTTTAATATTGTAACAATCGGTTTGAGCGTCCTACATAATTATTTTAACAGTTCAATAAAATTTTTTGTAGCTAAATTCTTAGATACTTTAGCAAAAACATTCTCTTCATGTGCTTTTACTTTTTGTGGCTTTAATCACGATGATCGTTTAATTAGATCATTTAATTATTATAGAATCACGAAATACATTCCTTTTTTTTTTTTTTTTTTTTTTGATTGATGGAACTACTTTACAGCAAATTAAAGATGTAATATGACTAATAAATGTACTACTACAGTCGTACATTTTTGCTGAAAAATGACATTACCGACTTAACCTTGACGTTATTTCATCTCTTCTGTTCATTTCTATCAATGTAGATTAACTTTAATCTTGGATTAATTTACTTTTTATCTTTCTTCAGTTTTAAGAATGAGAAAAAGATAAAAAGTAAATTAAACCGAGATTAGAGTTAATCTATATTGGTAGAAATGGACATAATTAGAGAATCTCTAATCTTCTCCACACTTCTAACATAAGATAACTAATTAAGAGAGAAATAAAAATCGCGTTCAATTAGCTCGTTCTGTTTGTTACTAAAGTGTTTGTCGTGATTATAAAGCCACAGCTTTCAACGTCGCTGTTGTAAAGGGAACATCCGAAGCGTTTGTCTGCTGAAGCGTGTAAATGAGTTTTCGCGTTAGGTGCCAATTCTCGCGGGTTGTTATCATATTTGCATTATTACAGGACGGCTCAAAGTTCCGAAGATATTAACATTTCATACCGTACCGGTAATATAAATGGTTATGTGTGTGCGTTATACAATTAGATATGTACGAATCATGGGAATGGGATTAATTAGTCTAGCACGTAGCTTCGAGAAACTCTATTTGGAATTAAATTGAAACTTGAAATATGTAACATTTCTTTGCTAATTAATTAAGTTGCATTCTTTTATAACATTTCTTATTTACAATGCGAACTAATTTGAGAGAGAGAATTATTAAATATAAATATATTAAAATAAAAATAAAATTGTGCACAGGGTGATATTTTCCATAGCATTTAATATAATGTAGTATATCACACTTTATAAAGTTAACCGTATATCTTTCCGTAACGAGCGAGATCGATCGTGAAACCAAAGCTATCCTGTGTGGGGCGAAATCCGTGAAACCCGTAATCTAAAGTTCACACTTTCCACGGCCAAACCGCGGTTCAGAGTGCATCCTGTGAAAATCGAGTGTTTCTGCAGGCAAACATGACAAAAAAGCGAAACGTCCGTGTCGTGGAAGCAGCCAATTCCGTTTGTGGTATTGCCAAGCGGTGACAGTTTTTTGTAGACGCGAATGTGAATTCTGATCTGAAAAGGGCGAATCATTTCTCACTTTCTTTTCCGTGGAATTTCGCGGTAGAAGAATTACGCATAACAATTATTCGTAATTCATAATCCCCGTGTAGATAATAAATGCGAGATAATAAGTTCTTTAATTTCGCCCACTTTTTATTCGCTAATCTCTCTGAAATCTCTCGTGTAAAATTGGTCTCGATTCAGTACCCTAGAAAATTTGTAGTTTTCCTAGGATCGTAATAATCTTTATGTTCCCATTACCCGGTGTTTTCACATATACTCTTTACAAAAATAAGCGGATAGTAATATTGCACTGTGATATATAATAAATACATATCGGATTACGATTGTAAATTTCACGATATTGTATATATGAATTGAATGCTATCACTGATATTACATGAATTGTTACCTCAATTCTTAATAAGTGTCGGTATCTTTACATTGCAGATTTTATATATGATAAAAAAGCTGCAAAATAATAATATGTATAACAACATTGATACTTTTACATAGTTTTACTATTACATCGTTAAGAGTTACAAAATAAGAGTTTGCTATGTGTTACATGGGATTGTGGAGTTGGATGTTTTAGTCCTCATTCTAAAAATTCCATACTCGATTGAAGGTTCATCTTGTAAAGAAAATTTTTCACAGGGTATAAAAAGGAAAAAACTAGTAAATGTAATGCTATTAATGTCAAATCATTGATAATACTTTTAAGACTTCCATGTTTTTTTCAAGTAAAAATTCAAGCAGCTTCAAAGCAGCTACGCGGTTTATTTTATAAGGAAAGTCCTCTAAAGCGTGTAACAAAGCACACAAAAACACTAAATGTAATGTTATTATTGTCAATAAATTATTGATAATACTTTTGAAGCTTCTGTGGATGCCTTTTTAAGAGAAAAGAGCCTTAAAGCAGCTATGCGGTTTGTTAATTCCATTAATTTCAGAGCAAGAAACAATCTGATATAGTATAATCATTTTCACAAAACATGGGCATTTAACAATATATCAAGACACAGAGATAATGTCAAATTATATAATATACAATACATATATTATTAATGCGCACTCACAGTAATTTTTTTTGTAAAATAACAAATATTCAATTGATGACATCCACTAAATTTAATAATACACTGACATCTAAGTAGACACAGAATCATAATTAAGTCATAATGATATTATATGTTCATCATTTGATACTTAAAAATGAACTTATAAATTATTTAGACAATTAAGATTGTGTCTTTATAATATTATTATGATTATGTTCTACTTGGGTAATATGGAAAAATCTTAAGTGATCACTTTTTAGTTCACTTCTTACAATCCATATCGCATTGATTCGACAAAAATAAAGATACCACTTCATACGCACTCTATCACTTCTTAGCAACACGTCCAGTATTATTATATTTCAATGTATTGAGAGAAATGTTTGAAATAAATAACTATTATTTTGTTGATATGTGAATTACGAAAAAACTTTTTTATTTTTAAATTAAAAAATTGTTATGATAACTAAATTTTGGTTAGAATGATGTTAGAATTAAATTAAAAAATTTTAATTGGAAAACAACACAATTTTTAAATAAAAAAAAAGTTCCTGTAATTCCAACAAAATAAAAGTTATTTATACTAAACATTTCTATCAATATGGGAATACTTTACAATTATTAATCAGCAATTCGCATACATCAGCGATCGCAACAATAAAATGTTATTCAAAATGCAGTACATTTGCGTCTCAAATATCGTGCAACAAAAAGAAAGAGCAAATGATAATTGCTGATCCGGACGGCCGCACATCGGACGTAGCATAATCAGACGTAACCGGGTGCCTGAATAATCGCTTCCTTCCGCAGGCAGCATCTCTAATTGCTTTACATCGACGGCCACCGAGCCGCGGAGAAAATTATGTCCGCCGAGGGAGAGAGCGGGGAAGAAAATTATTTGTGCGGAACGGGAAGTGCGTTAGACAGCGGACTCGCAATGATAATTTCGCGAATTGTAATGCATTTCTCTCTCCCATGTGGCCATTGGCACCAATATTACACTAATGATTGATTCGAGCGCTCTCGCCACACTCGCCCTTTTCCCTCATCCTATCTTGTTTCCCTTTCTAGCTGGATCCCATGATGATCACCGCATCACAGGCGCGACAATCGCTCCCGGTTAATAATAACAGCTGGCGAGTCGTGCTATCGCAGCTCGCAATTCCCCATATTACGTTTGTCGAATAATTCCTTCTTTGTTTACCGTTTGAATGCAATTTTCTCGATTTGAGCTCACTGCTAATGAAACTGCGACCGAAAAGCATTCCATCTCCGACGATGGATACGTATATATCACATATATTACGGAAGTTATTTTCGACCCGTAGCAATGTGCTATTTAAATCTTTTGTAATTCGTATCACACATTTTTAAATTACATTTTTAAATTACATTCAACAGGCTTCATAGATTTGACATATTCTCATTTTTTTACACGAAAAAAAAAACGATTTTACTGAAAGTTCTGAAATTTTACTGGATGCGGATCTAAAAATAAGTTTGTTAGCTCATCAAAATAATTATGTCAAAAACACTAAAAAATGATGAGCAATACTGCGAAAAGTGTTGATATTCTAACAACCAATTTCCAAAATTATTTTCAGATTTATATCCAACAAAATTGTAGATCTTTCAGCACAATTGTTTTTTCAATTGATTGGAAAAACAATTATAAAATTTGAATTACAATAGAATTGATTTTCCTCGCGTCAGTGTTTTGTCACGCATTCCATTAGAATACATCTCGTTTTAGGAATATACTCGCCATTTTATGCAACATCGTTTCTTCATTCTCACTTTGTAGGACTTTGTATATTCTGCGACGTGTTCCGCACATGAAGCATTAAAATGCACTGCATCCCAAGAGACATTCGCACGTTATTCTGCCCAAACAAACGTCAACCGCGCTGTTTACGTCGTACATGCAAATCGAAAGATCTCGCAGCAGCCTGCTAATGGTACAACCGTCACGACGCATGCAATGCAAATGCAACTTCCTTCGTTTATAGTAACATGCAGCAGTCATGCGACAAAATTGCTCGCGTCCTTTTCAACGGAAACACTTCGCAAGATCTCTCTGCACGAATCTTCCATCTTTTTAGGAGAATTCCATTGAATTGCAATTAATATCGTGATACAGATAATTTTCCAATTTTAATAAATATAGGAGGAATTTTTATGAAATTATGCAATCTATAATAGAAATTATAAACTCTGGTTAAAGTCAGAATTTCCGCTCAGCGAGGCTAGGCTATCCGCTCATCTCCTTATTCATCATATAACGTGATTTTCTAACCATGCTGGTAACGACGTGCCCCGTTGAATCGTGATCAATTCTGAAAGACCGCACCGAGCCGGTCGACACATAATTTACGATATAATGGAGATGTAACGCGGGTGCAACGCAGCGCAAACGCGAAAATCGAAATTTGTGACGTTTCTGATATGTTCTGCATCACGCGGCAACTCGTGCCCGAACAAAATTGCGGTGCAATGAGGCGCGTCGTTATTCTACAGTCTGATCGGCTATGAATTATGTCATTTATCCGATCGATTATGCATGTCATGTCTGCGTGACTGACATACCGTTATCCATTATGTATACAAAGCTTTGTAAATGCATTAACGTTTATTAGATATATTACAGTATTTTTTTTTATTGATTTTTGAACGCTAATGTACATTGTTACAATATTATTAGTAGAAGGAAATAGCTAACAATGATCAGTAACTAATGATTTGCCGATGCGTATAATAATAACAATAATAATAATAATAATACTTTTAAGGTTTTATAGATAGATTCTGTACAGATTCGAAGTTATGCAGGTTATCTCCAGATCAATTATTAGAATGCCAATGTTTCGTAAACCTTGTAGTTCACTTCATCAGGACGAGGAGCAGCTTGATAGTAATAGCCAATATCTGTTCCTCGTCTTGATGAAGTGAACTGCAGTTTTCATGAAACATCGGCATTCTAATAATGGTCACGGAGATAACCCGCGAAACGCATAATTTCTATAATAGATAATAATCGTAATAATAATAATAATAACAGTATGGTATACAGTGACAAAAAGATTTGGCTACAAACTTTTGTGTTTATCAAATTATTAATTAATAATGTTTATTTAAAAAAATCAAACTCTGTTGTTAAATATCAAATATCTTGTTATTAAATATCAAAAATAATAATTAACATTTTCAAAATAACCACCTTTAGCTTTGATACAGACTTAAAATACTTCAAAAACACATCAACGATGGTCATGTATCTTTTCATGAATAAATTTTTTCAGACAACCAATAGAGCGATCTTTGATTCATCATACGATGAACATTTTTTTTGGTGCGATATCTTTTTGGTATTTAATATAACTAACACAGATTTTGTTTTTTAAAATATATGTTACTTGTATTCGAGTAGAGTCCAATCGAAACTTCTGTCGAAATACTCATTATGTATCAATTTCGACTGAAACCATATAGCTCTTCTTCATAATTAATTTTAATATGTGTAATTATTGTATTTTAATAATTAAATTTTGATGTTTATGAAGAAGAAGTATTATATTCTTTGGCAAAAATTAACACATAATCGAAATTTCGGTTTTCGATTTTGCCCGAAATTTAATTATTGTTTCAATAAATTATGATATTTATGAAAAAATATGTGATATATGGGCATGTCTATACATATGACCTTTATAGAATTCTTTTTTTTTTAATTTCGGTTACGATTGAAATTGACATACATGTAGAGAGTTTTCGATTCAGTTTCGATTCAGTTTAGGCAAAAGTTTCGGTCAGACTCTGTCAAGTAGTTTGACGTCTCTCAAAATGATGATAAACAACATTTGTTTGCTACTTAGATAATGATTTTAATAAATACACAAAACTTTGTTACACAAACTTTTTTGTCACTCCGTATAAGTATAATAATATTATAATATATATACATATAATACATATAATAATTATTATTATTATATTCTATAAAGAATATTCACAGAAAAAAATCACGTTCTCACGTAAAAATTATTGATGATGTTGTATACTAAACAATATAAAATTAATCCTTTGTGGATTTGCAACCCCATTTTATGTTATCCCTTTTACATTATAAATAATGCAATTTATGAAACAAATTTTTGAAACGGTCTATGGAGCAATTTTCGAAAATGTTTTATTCGACTCTACGGCCAGAAATAAAAAAAAATCAAAACAGTGAATTCAATGTATATTCGATCAGAATTTTTTAAAAATAATTTGATTATCATAAAATTCAGTTTTAGGGAGTTTTTAATTGCTAGTACATCGAGTTACGAGTTTCGTTTTATTTGAAGTTCAGTACGTAAACAGTTGAGTAGTGTACTGATTTCCAAACTGATTTTTAAACTCTGATTATGAATCCTGTGACACTAGATCCCCCTTTATAGAGGTTAGTGTCCGTTTGAAATTCGATATTTTCAAGCCACATTCAAGCTGAGAGATATCAAGAACCTCTTAAAACTGAGTTTTCACAATAGATTCAGATATTTTTTTAAATTTAAACCGAGTTTTCACGATATATATATATATATATATATATACACATATCAGATTGTTTTTTCAAATTTAAATATTTTGAAATCAGTATTCTAAAATTCGAATTCAACTACTCCGACAACTTTTATAAAGCAAGGATTTCCATAAGTTATCTTGTTAGAAAGTTCCGATCTTCAAAAGATTAATTGCATCGACATCGAGCTATATCAGATTATTTAATTAAATTGAGAATACATAAGATAAATATGGAAATAATTTTTTAATCGATTCGTTTAATATGAAATAATCCTCTTACTTTTAAAATACTTATCATTTAAAATGTATTAAATATTGCACCCTTTGATAATTCATGACGTAATAAGTGATTCAATTTATTGAGAAGAGAAACACGTTCATAATTTTGATGAGTATATGAAATTGTCTTTTGAATTTTATACGTCTCTGTAGAGTGTAAATTATATCCGCGATATATTATGTTACCGAGGTGTAAATTATATCCGCGCGCGAGTGCAACCGTTTCCGAGTTAACAATAACATCCATCTGACGGATATGCAAATTTTCATTGTTTATGCGTACGTTCATGATCTCATTGTACATGTTCAAATTATTATTCGATTTTATCCATCTTTAGCGCGAGAGGAAACACTTTGAAATTTGCTAGTTACGAGAGAATTGCATTTACAAATGCGATTGGCAGCAATAAACACACTGAGAGCAAAGTGTTTGATATATTTGTATTATAATTATAATGCATAATAAAATAAGTATAGTTAAACACTCCATCTTTATAGTAAATATAATGCTATGAAGTTATAATGCTATAATGTTAACAATAATTATATTCATGATTCTATAAATCTATAATGTACAACGTAATTATCGGCCTTTTTTACAAATATATATTATTTATCTATATAAAAATAATCTTTCAATTTTTTAATCTTCTTGAGTCTGACAAAGATTTTCTTCTGAAGGCTATTCCAATTTTTCTTCAAGTTTTTTTATTGTCCAGGACGTTCTTCATCTTGGAGATTGAAATTGCTATCCCAAAACTTTTGAAACTACTTTTTATATGTACTATAAGACATTTTCTCTAAGGCCGAGCAAATCATTTCCTTAGTCTCTTTGGCATTTTTCTTTAATTGAAATGCAAAAAGAAGTATATCAGCAGCATCAACTCTATTACATATCGTTTTAAAGCTGAAGGATGGAGCTTTAAAATGACTATATAGTGAAAAAAAATTTAAATTTAAATAAATAGTCGCACGATTAAATGTAGGGATCGAGAATTAAATTGTACATTTAATATTATGTATACCAGAAAGATATAATTGTTCTTATAAACTAATTTATAATCCTTTCGAAAACCGTATATTCTTTTTGATATATAAAATTATAAATAACGTTTCTTCATAAAAATAAAGCAGTAATAGTATTAATAATTATAAAGATGGAACTTTTAGCCATAATTATTTTATTATTCAATTATAGTTACAAATACCAAATACTTTTCTCTCAGTGTAAAATCATAATTCGTTTACATCCCGATTCGATCATCCCGATATCTCCACTGAAGATTAACGCGCCTTTGTGAATCCTTTTCCTTTGAGTTTTTGCGATTTGACTGCGCTAATTGCAAATTAATTTACAGTCTCTTTCGACTTTAAATATAAAGATAAATCCACCCGACGGACAGATTGCTTTTAACGATAAGTTATTTAATTTATGAGTACAATATTTCCTTCTAATTAAAAGCAAGAATTAATTATGCACATTGTACAATATTGGATTAGCAATTGTGACTAACTAGGCAACCAGGATGGCAAACGCAGCTGCAACGGACATACGATATTATACATCAAACATGTGCAGAAAAAATAAACATACGTTGCTGGGTAACAATGGAAATAAAGGAAACACATAATGTAAGTGTAGGTAATTTTCTTTGCTGCGCTCGAGAGTAATAACTTGCGGTGTTATTAGTCGCAGAAAGAAAAATCGCGCTGCACTCACAGCCAAGTTCACAAACAATTCGCGGTTAGGGAAATGTAATTCTCCTTGTTACACGATAAATGAGCTACACGTTCCGTGTATCTCGGTGACGTTAAGGGCATGCAGCGGGCATTACTACGATTACCTAATACATGCAATTTTCGTGATATGTTACAGCGCACATCAATCACGTGCGGAAGATAGCCGGAGTGGATCACGTCGGCATCGGGGCTGGATACGACGGGATCAATTTGTAAGTGTGACATATTTGTAATGGCGCGAATACAATTGTATGTCAACTATGTACAAACACGTGGCAGATATGTGTATAGGAGAAAATATTCCAACGAATATCATAATTAAAGTTGGAGTAGCACAATTTGTTGGAGTAGCACAATTTTTTAAGTAGATAGATGGATGACTACAGCACCTCAAGCATAATTTTTTCTAACATCTTGTTCTAAAAAAGAAAAATCAAAGATATGGCCGAGATTCCCAGAAGTTTTATTATTTTTACATTCCTCTGTTAAAGGATATAACTGCACTAAAAGAAAAATTTGATATTTGCAACTATAATTATTGTTATCATTATGATTATTACTGCTATAGATAATATTAAGTCACTTGTATATAATTGACAAAAATGATGAATTAGTTAAATTACAGTAATTGCAAACATTTTTATGGTTATAATAATTATAATTATTTTTAGTTGCTATACTATATTTTGTTAGTAGAACTACAATCGTTATTTTATTACTAATATTATAACAGTAATAATCATAATTAATAAATCATAAATAATGATAACATGTAATTATAATCGCAAAATTGTTCTCTCAGTGTGAGGATTTAATAATTTATAATATGTAATATATTTATATACGTAATATATACTAATAAAAAATATAACTATAAAATTGAAATTTTTGGGGGTTGTTCTGAGAACCTATCAACACTTGAATATCTTTAAACCATCTATCTACTAAGGTTAAATGATCGGCAATAATCAACTATTTTGACAATAGAAACTACTTTAATTTTAAGCAACGGTAGCTTCATTCGCATTAACGATATACGACTTTCCTACCAAGAGAAAACAATGCAAATTCGTAAGCGCGTACTAGTTCCGTCGAACTGATTGCGAAACTAGTACATGCAAACGTAGAGAAGTTTTCGGTTGTACCATTGTATGTAGGACGGGCTGTAGATCAATACGTACAGAGCTACCGATCACTTGCGGCACTCAGAGACAGTTGAAGTCGCTTTCCAGAATTTATGAGAACCGATTACGAGTTCGATTCCGGATGACCATCAAAATGTTCAGTTCAATACATCTCGCTTATAACCCGAGAGTAAGATTGAAACGGAAGGAAAATAATGTACGACGGAGATCGTTTAGTCGAAGCGACTTCATGAATATCATTTAAAGCCCATAAATTCTCCACGAGGGAGTCTATCACACCGATGCATTTTTAAAGAATTCCATACATAAAATCGTTCTCGTGAAATATCGGATAATACTCGTATACTAATAGCCGTTTGTTTAAAAAAAAACGCTCAATATTATTATATTTTATTCCATTATCCCTGTCTTTGTTGTGCTTTTCACGCAATTTCTTCAACGCGTGCGGAAAAGACGCCCGGAGTTTCTTCTTTGCCGCGATAACTCGAAATACAGAATCTGCTGGACGTGGGAATCGGATAAAAACACATGAACGTCGGCCCCTTTTGTTAAAAATGCTGACTCTTTGAGAATTGCGAAAATTGCGACTCCTAGCATTAAGCTTGGTGAAAAAAATCAACAGAGCATAAAAGAGAAAGAGAGGGAAAAGGACTGAAACAGAGATAGAAAAAGAAATAGATAGAAACAGTTCTAACCGCAAGTAAATTTAAGATAGAGAAGGTAACTAAAAAGTTGTTGAGTTTTTCTGCATGAAAAACACAGGTGGTCGCGTCTTGTGTATGTGATACAGGATTGAAAAACAGTATGAATGCACTGAAGCGTGATTTGCAGACCAAACGATAAAGAAGCAAAACGACGTAAAATGCGCCGCGCTGATCGAACCGTCGCGATATACCTACGGTTTTTCTGTATTTTTGTCCAGTGTGACAATATCGAATGCAGGGAAACAAGGAAAATAAACATGAAAACAGATATTATATGTCGATACTGCAAATAATTAATGATTATAGTGTTTTTACTTTCTTCGGGAAAATGATAAATTCAAGTTTAAGAACTAAATAAATATCTAAAGTTTAAAAAATAATTAAATGTAAGATTCTTGATAAAACATAGATATAAAACATGTAAACGAAAAATGAGTCTCTGATTATGAATACTCGTATATGTATATGTAACTATCGAACGCGAGCTTTCATTTATATTTCACGGATAAATAAAGTTAGCTACAAAACAAGCGAACGAAGATTAATAAATAAACATATAGGTTATTAAATAGTGAAGTGTTGAAATCGTATACATAGAATTTTATTTTATTTTATACATTATTTTCAGTATTTTTTCTCTGTAGAAATATTTAATTATCGTGGCTTCAAAATAAAAACAGAAATACGATATCGTTTCGAATTTTAAATCAACAAAATTTCACATAAATACCTGAATTTCCAATATTATCGATGAATTTTTCGGATGCGAAAATATTTTTAAAAAATAATGTGGAGATAAAGTAATTGTAATTAATCGTATTCACCTAAAATGTTGAGAAAATTCTATTCACTAATTTTTATTAAATTTGTTACGTTTTATCGTATTTTGATTCGGAAGAAAAAAATACAAAAATTTTAATATTTTCAATTTTTTTAAATTTTCAATTGATGTTGTACTACTATTTAAAACTTGTCAACTTTAACTGCGAAACAATCAATATGTTCCATTTTGTTTCGTTTTAAATTCCATTTTTATTGGTTGGCAAGAACGTCGAGCAAATCAAAACTTTATTAAAGTGGTTTCGCATCCAATTATGGCAAATAAAAATTGATAACGTGATGACATATCACGTAATGAAGCGATAAATAATTATTTTCAATAATTATTTGCAATAATTATTTTCCTGCCTATTCTTAAACATGTCACAGTTTCGTCACGAAGTCTAAGATTGCTGAATATGCTACGATGGTTTAGAGAAAAACGCGAATGACAAGAATGCACTTTGGTGGTGTTATACGAACAAAGAAAGAAATGTCCCACTGGAATGAAAACAATGCTTCTTTTCTCTGCACCCAGCTTCCAGCTTCTTCCGTTACGAAAGAAAAGAGATTCTAATATTTGCCACGAATATTCAAGGCTTAAAGTTACACCACCTATGTTAGAAAAAAATCTAAAACAGCTAGCAAACCTCTAACATATTTGCGTTTAGTTAGAGAGTACAACGAAAAACAGCAAAGATATTGCAGAAATTCGAAAAGAAAGAGAAAAACATCAGTCTGTTATTCACATACATACTATTTTCCTTTTTTTAAACCTTTCGCAATGAATATTGGAAATGGCATCTAATAACTTTTTCATAAATATATAAAAAGTAAACAATCGATCAAATTTTTTAAAAAGACAAGACGCATTTTATCCGCAGGGAGACTTTTATCCGAATTCACAGCGAATTCACCGCAAATAAATTCAATAACGTGTTTTTATTACTGATAAAAACCGTTTTCTTGCCAAGTATATTTAATTTTGAAGATATAACTGTGTTATTTCCGTATCAGAGGGATCACGTACGACGAATCGTACGATGAAGTATTTTCAACTATATTCCTGGTTAAAATTTTAACGTGTTAATCGCAATAACCAATATTAGTAAAAAACGAAGAAGAATTACTATAAATTATTTTTCTAAAAAATTCATTTGCCGATCTAACAGAATTTGCATAAATTTTCATAATTTCTTATTGCGAATATTTTCTTATGCATGCGGCCATAATCGTATAAAAAATTAAGATATTTGCATTTTTCGAAACAAAAAAACTTTTAAAATTAAATATGTTTTAAAAATCTTCAAGAATATACAATGTATTTTAAAATCTACGATTCAAAATATTGTAGCAAGAAGATTCTTAAAAAATTAAAAAGTAAAAAAATTATTTGTAATTTTAAACAGTAGTTTATAAATGTTCAATAGCTAATTACAAATTACGTTTAGACGACTACCTGCCCATGAATTGCACGTGCGATAGTATTAGTGTGTGCATTGAAATGCAAATATGTTAGAAGTTTGGTAGCTGTTTTATATTTTTTTTCTAACACGAAACGCTGAAATACGCTCACTAATATTCACAGGTGACTGTTTAAACATAGCCTGTAATTCGCCATATTTATATTCCTTAAAAACTACCACTTAAAATAAAAAATTGCAAACTTTGTTTTGTAAATTTACAAAATTTACAAACTTTTTTACTTAAACAGAGTATCTTTTAGTACACCGTAATGTGAATACAAATAGGAAATAAAAGTCCTAAACGATTAAAATGGATCTTTAATGCTTATAAATAATTTGGTGTGAATTTATATACTACATCTCAGATATCTCTAATTCTGCAATCTGTTCGCCGAATTTAATTATCATTCTTGAAACGCAATCTATATAGAACTAGAATAGTAATATTACAAAGGACAATTTAATAATATACAGGGTCCGGCAAAATGATCTCCCACATTTTAATCTTTAATAATTTAAAAATGTGGGAGATCATTTTGCCGGACCCTGTATTAACCTGTGAATAATTTTAATATTTAATTTTTTACTTAATTTTTTAAGAATATTTTGCAGTATTTTAAATCTCAAATTTTGACATTCTGAAAATCTGTGAAGAAAAAAAATATATATCTTTCGAAAAGTCTAGTCAGCCTAATTATAAACTGAACAATATACATATTAAACTAAACAATATACATATTGAACTAATAGACATCATAACAGCAACAGCGATTAATAGTAACAATAAACAATTAGAGGAGGAGTCAGGTGTTTGCCAATGATAAATTTGCACATCAGTTATTTGTCAAATTAATCAGTAATTGGTTCCGCGGGAAGGAAATTACGCGGTCCTCGAATTTCATGTAGAAACCGTGCCGGCAACTACATTAGAAACAGTCATGCTGAATCCACGACAGAAACGCCGCGTTCTTAATTGCACGTTAAATTAACTCACCGGTTGACAGCGCGTGGTTAAAATTTCAACGAGCTAATCGGGAGAACCGTTCCATAGGGAGACCCTCGATTCGCGGGTAGCACC